TACCTATTATATTTTATAAAGACCTTGTCAAATAAGTAGATTTTAATTGTAAATCTCAATCAAAGAGTAAATACATGCCTTTCTACCATGTTACGTTCATCATCATCTGCCTCTTAAAACTGTTACAGATACAAAAAATTCAATTCAATAAATGCACTCAGCACTCAAACTAAACTATCATTCAAATTTCGACATAAGACTTGAATTCCTTTTCAGTGCTCTTCAACTCTGACCCAGCTCTACCCCCTCCTTCATTGAAAAGGGCAAAGACAACAGCCCAGCAAGTGGGACAGGGAAAACAGACTTCCTTTGTTCACTTTTTTCCTTTCAGTTTTCTATTGAGGTAAATAACTGAAAAGCTCAGCCAGCCTTTAGTGGTTCTGAAGAAAGCAATGCAGCTACCCTAAAACTACGCCTACAAATCAGCGTACAACAGTATCATGAAGCTTGCAGGACATCATGTTAGTCTTGCAAAGGAAACTTTTGAAGGTTAATTGACAGAGTGGATATTTACTCACACATTCTCAGCAATGGAACCGTTATTGTACTTGATGAAAAATAAACACATTTTATTTTATGTTACATCTCCTGATTTTTTAAAATTATGCAAATCTTAATGCGTCTGTATGCATTAAATACAGATATTTAATCTGTACTGCATGCAGATTGTGATCTATACATTATTTTTCACAGCTGAAAAAACAGACTTAAGTGTGCAGATTTCAGCTAGATTTTATTAGCTTTATAATGCAAACTAAAACTTTAAATTAAGCCCCCATCATCTTTTCTAATGTTACTTGTTCTTACATTCTACCCGCTCAATTACAGTACATATTTGAAATCTAACAGCTGAAAATAAAATTATAACATGCTAACTCACAGAATGATTTAGAGCAGAAACGGCACCTCAGTGGGCATTCAATATGGATTTATTTAGTATTGATTTGGTCTGCTGAATATGTAATTTGATCTGCCTAATAGCCTCAAATAGACTTTTGGGGGGGGCGGTCATTTAGTTTCTCTAAATACTCAAATGTACTTCAAATGAGCTAAAGAAAAAGTCATATCCTTTGAACTTTGATTATAATTAAACAGTCTGAAGTATATTTGTGTTTAGAAAAGTAAACTTTATCATATATTTAACATCTATATAATCATCACAGTACATAATGATTTACTTCATATCTGCACAGACTTTAACATAGGCAGTATGTTTTCTAAATTTATAATTTAGGCAAAGGTAGGTAGGTAGACAGACAGACAGATTTTCTAAAAAAGTTTTGGCTTTTTCATAAAGCCAAAGTTCCACAGGTGCTTTAACCATGCAAACTAAGCTTTGAGATGCTCAAGCTTTTCATTTGCATAAATACTGTAGTCTAATGAAGACTTTATCCAAAGGTAAATAAACATAAAAGCTTTTGAAACACTGATAGTATCAAGAATCCACAAAAGCCCCTTTAGATATATGTTATATATGGATTGGTATGTCTCCTCAATAACAAATAACAAATAAAAATAAATACTTTATTTTTCAATCACCATTAGTTAAACTGTTTAATCACAGCCAACCTTGTTGTGTGCTATCTATGTATGACAGCATACATAGGGACCAGGAAAAAGTTTGTCTTACTACTTTCTATATAAGTCAAACTTTTTCCTGGTCTCTTTTTAAATTGCCACATGGAAAGAAAGTTGGATGCAAGAAAGCAGTGCTTCCTCTTGAATCTGCTTATATCTCTGGATGATAAGTTTGATACTATCTTCAACACGCTATCCGTGTGGCATTAAACCATGCATTTAGGCTTCCTCAAGTCAGTGATATAAGCAGCATAAATCAGTAAGATTTGGTTCCAGACATTCCAGTACAACAGCCAACTAGATTTGTATGGTTCAATTGTCCAATTAGGAAGAATTCTTATGAAAATAAACATTTATGTCACAGGTCAGAAATCATGACCAGTTTCATAGCTGGCATTTTCTCATTTGTGTTATGTACTAACAAAGATTCAATTTAATAAAGAAGATGAATGGTTCTTTAAAATATATTAATCATGACCCAATATATTTTAAGCCTACACAAACAGATAAAACAGTTGTTTCTATTCAATATAGCATCTGCTTTATACTTAGAAATGAATTTCCCAACATGTTTTAGAAGAGCCTCTTAAACAGTATATGCAAACTGGCTGTAATATTTTTCTTCAAGTTATATGCTGGTGAAGAGTAAATGAGAACTCTGAAATTTGCAAATCATATCATACTGACACCTGTTAACATACTAATAGCATTTAGAAATCAACATATATAAATATATATTTATATTATATATGGCCCAGGAAAATAGTTCCCTAAAAATATTAAATAAAACAATGAATCTTTAGTTTTAGTTACCTTAATAATGTAAAGATATACATTGCTGCACAGGACATGAAAGATGCAGATTAAACTAGATCTAACAATAAAATAGTACTAAAATTTACCATTTTTAACTGAAATTTAAAAACAAATACAAAGTCAATCACTCAAAATTTTATCTTTAAAGAATGAATAACAGCTTATATAAGACTCAAAATCCAGACAGCTTCCTACAGATAAGGTAACCCTTCCATATCACAATATGAACTTTATGAAACTCCTTTCAGTTTCAGCAACTGTTTGTCATATGGACTAATATTATAGGATCTGGCTTGTTTTTTTTCTTTTGAAGTCCAACATTCACCTTGGATGCCCATAACTAAAAGTCCATTTATCTAGGTTTTCATAACATATGCAATCTTGATAATAGTCCACCCTACACTATCACTTGAAGAATGTACATAAACACACACATATATACATTCTGTGTTATTTAAGCTTTAATAATTACATACAGATTCTTCAAGTGCTAGGCATTATAAATTGAAATGTTTATGTGGTTTGTGCATATAATCAGTGACTAAAATCCATATCTGCACAAACCACATAAACATTTCAATTTTTTAATGCCTGGTTTCTATATTCTACGCTTCATTTTCAAAAATCTGTTAGCAGACCAAATTAATTAATTAACATTTGCACCTGACAGATTTGCTCCACTCATTTATGTTTTTGTTTTTTCTCATAAGTATCAAAGGTGTGGAAAGTAAACATAAATTGTACAGTGCCTCATGTCCATTTCCTGTCTCAGAAGCTCCAGTTTAGAATTTAAAATCTACTCCTCTGCTTCAAGTTGAGTTTACAACCAGTTATTACACATCAGTACTCTAAATTTTCAAATGATCTTCTGCATAATACACTGCCACCCCCCTGACTTTTCATAATAAACAGAGATATTCTATTTTAAACTTCTGAATGTGACACATACTAATACAAAAACATTTAAGAAAAAAAATTTCCATAAGGGAGACAATTTGTGGTTGAATGAATAATTGAATTTCCATTTATGACCTGTTTTTATAAAACAAGGACAACTATTTCACTTCACTGCCTCATTGGGTTTCTATGACTGCCTGTTTTCTGTAAGGAAATTCAGTCTTCTTGTCTGTAATCAAAAGTGATTGCCTACAATTGACTGTGATATGAACAAATCTTCCTTCCTCCTTTTCACATATACACACTAACTGCCATGCACAGATGGAGGGGAGGGGAAGAAAAAACTCTCTGTAGCTTAAATGAGTTTCTTAAAACCCAGTTCTCTGCAGGATCCCTTAGCTTCAGCAGAGACAGCTCCTTTCTCCATGCATGCAGTGACAGCAACGCAAAAGATTGGGCCAGATCAGAGTCTGGTTGCAGGAACTGCTACAGTTCTGCAAACCTTACAGCCTATTGCCCCCTTCAGGGTGCCTGAAATGGCGACTAGTGTCAATCCCTGTCTGTCTGGGTCTGTGTCTTTACCTGCCATTCATTCCATAAATCAATAATTTTGCACCAATCTTCTTCAGAACAACAGAGAGCCTTGGGCAACAAGGCACCACCCAATCCCAGACTCCCACTTTCAGTGGCAACCAGCACATTTCCCCGCTACATACTTTGTCTCTGTGGGGAATCAATGCATAAATAATTGCAGCTATTTGCTCAGAAAGAACCCACACCTGTAGCATTCAAAGGGCTCTGCCAGAGCAGGCAGTCCCAGACACCCCAACTCCAACCCAACCTTGATTGCTAAAAAGGCTGCTGCTGCTGCTATGCCAAGCCTGGCTGTCAGACACAGTGGATATGGATGTGCACAACTGAGGCACACCCACACAGCAGGAGAAAGAAAGAGGGAGATTACTCTGCCATTAGGACTCCGGCTCATGACAGAAATGCCAGGCCTTGAGGTGACCTGAGCCTCAGCTTAAAAACTGCACGGCCTGATTGCAAAGGCAGAGATTAAATGCCACAGATCATCCAAAGCACCTCAGACTGTAAACCGAAAAGGAGAACGCAGAGGCGGAAAAAGAGAGGCAGACAGTGAGGGAAGAGGAAGAGGAAGAGGGAGGAAGACATGCCTCGAGTTCTTGCTTCTCGGCTCTATCACATCACCCCACGCAGGGCGGTTTTTGCACAGGACCGGGCTTGCCCTGGGACCCTTCCCGTTTCCCTTGATGACCTCACTATGGACTAGTTTTAGGGGGGACCTACAGCGTGACCATAACTCGCCTGACCCCTGGGTTTCTGGCATTTGGAAGAGCAGGTGGAAAGCAGGGCGAACTTGGAAACGGCCCTTCCTCCTCACCGCCTGGGTTCTGGAGGGTGAACCCCAGGGGGTCGGTCTGCCCACACAAGCCGGCGGCTGCCGGTGGCCATGGGGAGCCGCGAGCGAAGATTAGCTTGGCGCTCTTGCAGCCGGAGCAGCCACGCCGCCCTGGGTCTCGCATGGTCTTTGCGAGGCGACCGGGCTGGCTGGGTGCGGAGCTAGCGGCGGATGACAGCCAAACCGCGTCGTCCCGCACCTCGGCTTGTGCAAAACTACTGCTGGGGAGGAGCGCAGACACATCCCCCCTGGGGCCCCCCAACGCTAAGAGACACTCAACACTCACAGGTAGCCACAGCCTCCGGTTGCAGGGCAGGATGCCGTGTCGAGACAACGCGCCTCCTCCTCTGCTGGGGAAAACTGCTAGTTCTCGCGCAAGCTCCCACCAGCTTATAGCGAAGGGCTCGTTCGAGCAAAGCCAAGCAAAGCCAGCAGGCGCGCCCGCGCGCTCCCGAGCCTATCGCCTCCCCGCTTCGACTGAGCCAGCCCAGCGCGCGCCCGCCTGAAGCAAAAAGGCGGCGGGGGGAAGGGCTGTGCGCGTGCAAGGGCTTCGCCCTCCCGAGGCGCCACGCGCGCGGTGCCTTCGCCGGCCGGTCAGGTTTTCGGCCACACCTTGTGACAGGGCGCGCTCCCTCGCACAGGCACACGCCTGTCCACCCACCTACCCACCCGCCCGGCCTTTAACCGCGCCGGCCTGAAGTTCAGTCGTGCGAGGGCGATCGCTGCAGCCGACGCGGCTTCTGGATTGAGTTTATTTAACATATTTATGTAATGAATGCAGGAGGCAGCATCTGCGCGCATACTGTCTCGTCGCAGAGTTGTTAGATGGTACTTTCCTCACGTACGAGACGGTGGCAGCAGAACGTAAGCATTGGCCCTAAACGCGCTACTCAACACTCCACCCTAAGCTTTTACCAAGAAGGTTTGAGACTCGTTGTAACAATTTACTGCTGCTGGTTAAGTGTAGTCTTGTGTCTGTTGGGTTATTGTGGTGTTTGTTAAATGTTCCAATTTTAAAAAAACAAAAACGTTTCTTATGCTTTAAGGCTAATAGGCCATGGACTCTGTAATCTACTGTGAAAATAGCCTTGACATTAAAAATGGCCAGGCTGACTATTTGTGCCAATGCAAATGCGCCTCCCACGTAGATAGAATTGCACACACACTGAAACAATGTCTGGAGAAGCATGTTCTTAGTCATACTGTCACTGAGTTAGAATGCATGAATTAAAGCGCACACACTTTCTGTGTTGGCTACCTGGGCAGTGAAATGTATCTGACAGACACATAAGAAACTTCCCTGGACAAGTGCTGGAAATCATCGTAAAAGTGTGTTAAATAGAAAGCAAAATAGTTTGGGTTCACCTCAACTGAAAAAACAACAAAAAACACCTGCTTTTAGAATTTTTGTATTGACTGTAGGAATCTGAACACTTGCTAATCTTGTTGCTGTGGTTGCGCTCCTCCCATCTAGTGCTTCTATTAAGAAGGCTAGGATTGGATTATTCAGAAAGCTCAATTTTATGCCTACTTATTAAAAGTAAATCCCACTGAATGTGGGTGCTGTCAGGAGTTTGATTCCTAGTGACTGTATGGACAAATAAACACCATCTTGTCCTGTCTTAGCACCTTGGTGAAAAATTTGTGGAAAGCTGGAGACTGAGACAGCAAGAGAAAAAAGATACATGCCTCTGAATAATTGAGATAGAGATGCTCTTAGGAGTACCATGGACTTCAAAAAGAATCAAGCTATCAATCCTGGACCAAATTTTATTGTATTATTGCTATTACCTTAAAACAATTATCAGTAAGCAAAAACTCATACTTTGGGTATGTAATGCCAAAATACCAATTGGCAAGTATGAGAGTAATAGAAGGAGTACATAACTCTATGGTGATTGAATGGGATCAAAGAGATTACAGGACTGCCCCTGGAAAAGCCATGAGATATTGGTTGCCCATGCAATCACTGGAAGCTGAACTTGATTTAATGGTGTCTAATAAACTAGTATCAATTTATAGTCTAAACTAAGCAATGTACTCATTTGCCTTCTGGCTCATCACCCCCAAAGTAACTGAGGTGTGAGAAGAAGAGGTATGATGACCATGGCAGGTCTTTGTGTGAAGTTGGTAGCTGCCGCACCAAGCAGCATTAACTTCTATGCTTTCTATGGTTGCTTGGTGGGGCTGCCCAAAGGCAAGCAGCAGCTGCAATCTGAGGAGTTGAAAGAGGCAAAAGTAGAGGCTTGGGGAGTAACAGCATTTGAAAAGGGCAGGAGTAAGGAAGGAAATCACTATCATGTCTGCCCACAGGAGGAAGGAGGAGGAGGAGGAGGCGACAGCACATCATCACACAACAGCCATAGTAGCATCAGGGATACTTCCTTTATATTGGATAATGTTCACCCAGAGATCTGGGTAGCCAGCACCGGTGGCACAAGGGACCTGAGCACACTTCATCTTTGGCCAGGTGGAATTCTTAGAAAAAAATTAACTGGTTCACGTGAACTGGTAGATAATAGTCTTGCTCAATTTGTTTGTGGTTGTCTGTGACAATAATGCAGTAATTATTTGATTTGATTAAAATGGTTTAAATGCTACAGAGATAACACACACATATGTATATGCACAAGTTATTACAAAAATAGTATGTGCAAGTAGTAAGAATTTAGAAATTAATGTTCAAACCAGCCTTAGACTATGGTTCAGTGGAATAGAGAAATAATAATTTGTACATAAAATTATCAGAACAAAAAAGGAGTCCTAAAGAAAATCATGGACAAATGGAACTATATACAAAATATAAATGGAGTACATCTCTGCATTCACTCCCAAATCTGTTCCAGATGATACCCTACTCTTCAAAGCAGATTTGGGATATATGGTGGTACAGATGGGAATTGTGTTGGGAAGTGCCTTTCTGATTGGATAAAATCCAAAGAATTCAACTTGTATACAAATACCAAGTCCAATTTATTATATATAATAAATACATTTTTCATTGTTTTTATTCTGGAATTAGTTTATTAATTGCTTTATAACACTTACTTGTTTTCTGTAGGGTTTTTTGGGAGGGTTATTTGTATGCCGTATATTCCTTGAATATATGTATTGTTGTTTGGTCTGGGACCATAAAGATAATAAACTAAACCAGTTTTTCTTAAACTTTTTGCTCTCAGGACCCCTTCCCATTTTTAAAAATTACAGAGGAGCCATAGGTTATATTTATCAATATTTACCATATTAAAAATTAAGATTCATGCATTCATAGAATACTCATTTATTGAATCATGTAAAAATAACAATATTAAACCCATTAGATATTAACATAAACAAAATATTTTTCATGAAAAAACCTATTTTAACCAATAAAAAATAATAATTAGAAGAGTGACATTGTTTTAAATTTTTGCAAATATCTTCAATATCTGGTAACTAACTCCTCAGGGATCCTCAGACTACACTTTAATAAACACTGACCTAAACTAACCTAAACTTTCTGTAATATACAAAGATATAGGAAAATAAGATACAAAAACAAAACTATCAGAAAAAAGGAAAAGGACAAAAAATATTTAATTTTTAAATGCAGCATTGAACACTGACTTGGTGCATAACACAAAAAAAGTTAGAGGTTAGAGGGTACTTATAAATATTAACTGAAGCTGTGGAAAAGAAAGTAAGATATAAGAAAACTGGAGAACGTCTATCAGACAAGTGAGGAAAAGTTGCTTCTCTGAAAACTTTTAGCAGCATTTAGGAGTAAAATAATAAACATGCTGGATTGAACTGAGGAGGCAAAGCTCAAAAGTCCCCACTTAACCACAGACCTGACTGGCAACTGTGGGCCAGTCAAAATCTTTCAGTCCAACCTACCTCATAGATTATTGTGGTAATAAAATTGAGAGAGACTCCTATCTACCACAGCTTGGTTCTCTTGGAGAATAGGATAACATAACAAAGGACAATCTGTGACAGAACTGGCTTTCAGCAATTAAAAAATAGTAAATGTGAGTGAGCTCTGCAGTGAAATACTACTGTAAATTTAATCACTACAACCAGCTGAATGTGCATAACCCTTTTCTCTTTATCAATAATACCTTTCAATAGTAGAAACTGTGAACATTGTGCAGTTCCTTCAGCTCACCAGGGCCCCTGTTCTCTAAAAGCAGATAGGAAAAAAAAAACAGCAATTTGTTGGGAAGTGCATCATAAAGACTGGGTCTTATGTAACTGAGAAGTGAAAAGGAGAGAAGAAACAAAAGGAATGTTCAGAAGCAGAGGAAACAAGTAATTAATCTACAAAATGGGGGAGAATATATTTCAATAATTAGATGATGCACAATTCCGTAAAAAATAGTCTATATCCTGCTGTTGAATAATTGTCAGAAGATCAGAAAAGGATGGCTACTTTTCACTTTACTATCTTTACACTTGCAGTCAGTGTCCTAAAAAGTGCTCTTAACTGTTTCTTAGCTTCACTGGAAACTTCCATTTGTCTCCTGCTTTTCTCAGAAACTTCCTCTTAACACTCTTTAACTACTTGCAATAGTTCTACAAGGGAGAAACAAACAACCAGTTATATTGCACAGCAAATCTTAGTATGCCTTCTCTGTAAAACAGAAGACAAATTATCTACACAAATAGCTAACTTTGCAATTCTTAATTGTACTTTATTATAGATTATAAAACTACATATACACAATTGTATACATTCCATATACTGTACACAAAATCATGTATATGTATATGTATTGAAAAATATGTCCACATTCTTTCACTAATTATATATAATGGTACATAACAATAACAGTGGTGTAGTTATTTTTAACCATATTATATGAACCCCTCCCCATTAATACAAGCAGAAGGTTAAATTGTAAAATATAGAAAGGACTGCATGAAACTATCATTTAATTCAAGTTAAATGATGGTATTTAACCTTTACCCCTTTTAGCACTACACAATTAGGTCTGCTTGATTAGAAGTCCAATTATTTTCTAATTGCTGTGTTACATGGTACTATAATTTTTGCATGGTGATGTGCTGTGTTCTTAAAATGCTAAATGGAAAGACCTAATTCTTCCTAAAGCTTCATGAAGTCTTTGTGAAAGAGGTCCCCGTGAGCAGTAATAACAACCAATATGTGAATGTTGAGATTGTAGTTGAGAGTTTAATGGAATTTCATGAAGGCTAGAGGACCTCAAGAAAAAAATGCAGATATACGTATAGAAGGGAATACCATGTACATGTATTTGTATGTAAATGCTAAAAATCTCTAATACATGACGAAAGAGACAGCTTGGTTTTAAAGAATAACATAGTGGAGTGGCACAATAGAAATATATTTAAATGGAAAGAGTT